ATATAAGGCGTAGCTGATCATTGGTCATTTTGATTCAACCATTGATCAATTGGATCAATAGTAAAACAAAAAGGGCATTTTTATTTCCAGCCTTGGATTTTCTTTTCACTCACCATGCAAATCTTCGTCAAAACACTTACTGGGAAAACAATCACGCTAGAAGTTGAATCTTCAGACACCATTGAAAATGTAAAGCAAAAAATCCAAGACAAAGAAGGAATACCGCCTGACCAGCAACGCCTTATATTTGCTGGAAAGCAGCTGGAGGATGGAAGAACGCTCTCTGACTATAATATTCAAAAAGAGTCAACCCTCCATCTAGTGCTGAGACTGCGAGGAGGATATTGAATCCCACTGTATCACGCAAACACCTTTCCTCCCGTAGCTTCTATCCATTCAATTATGAATAAATCATAATGAAGTTAAACTCTATTAGTCACCAATGCTACGGCAATTGCAATGCCTCCATCATGAGTCAACGAGGTGACAAGTGGGAGATTTGATGGCAGATATGTAGTAACCGGAACGCAGGAGCCGTCTTGGGTAGCGGTTTCTATGTCTTTGAAAGAAAAGTTCCATTTAAGAGCCGATGAAGAGCTGAGGGCCTTGAAAGAGGCCTCCTTTAATGCAAATCTACCAGCCAGAAACGAAACACATTTAGATGAGCGTGGATCTGTGAAAGTGCTGCCAAAATATTTATATTCGTTAGCGGATAAAATCCGTTTGGCAAGCGAATGGGGGTCGAGTCGCTTGCCCACTATGCTTTCGATTCGATTGATCAGTACGCAATCTACACCGATTCCTAGCATGGTGGCGAAAAGAATAAATTTACTAAAATTTAAATGCAACTAGCAATGTTGTGGTTCGCGATTTCAATCAAATCAGAGGTAAAATTTTATCTCCTTTTATCCAATACCATGGATTTTAATTCCATAGAAGAAGTTGATGGCGTCCGTTTCTCGTGGAATTCTTGGCCAAACACAAAGGCAGAGGCTGCCAAGCTGGTGGTTCCGATTGGATGTATATTTACGCCCCTGAAAGAATCTACAGCTGTCAACGAGGACGGTACTTCAGGCGGCCCTCTGCCTCATACGCTTCTACCTTACGAGCCGGTGGTTTGTAAGTCTCCTTGTCGAGCAATTTTGAATCCATATTGTCAAGTGGATTATAGAGCTAAATTGTGGATTTGCCCAATTTGCTTGCAAAGAAATACTTTCCCACCCCATTATGCAGGTATCTCTGAAAATTCCGTGCCAATGGAGTTGCAGCCACAATCGACAAGCATTGAATATATAATCCCAAAACCCCTTCCAATTCCGCCTGTTTTCCTTTTTGTCATTGATACCTGCTTGGATTTGGAGGGGATTGTTGGGCTCAAGGAGGCTTTATTGAGGGCGATCACCTTTATACCCTCAGAGTCCTTGGTTGGATTGATAACGTTCGGTACAATGGTTTGGTTTTCATTTTCATGATCCTAGGTATACATCCATGAGCTTAGTGCAATTGAATTGCCCAAAAGCTATGTCTTCAAGGGAACAAAGGAATATCCCACCAAACAGTTGCAAGAAATGCTCTCCTTGTCATCCATAAGCGCATCTCAATATCAAAACCAGCAATCGGCTATTGGAATTAAACAACAGTCTCCTGTAAGCCAGTCGAGATTTTTGGTCCCTATAAAATCTTGCATCAACCAGCTTAGCATGCTTATCAAAAATCTCAAAAAGGATCCTTGGCCTGTGGAGTCTGATAAGCGCCCGCTAAGATCCACAGGATGTGCTCTTTCGGTTGCCGTTAGCTTATTGGAGGTTGTGGCTTCTTGCCTTACGTATAGTCTGTTGTGCCTGCTACTGGGGCGCGAATTTTATTTTTCACGGGAGGCCCATGCACCTCTGGTCCCGGTATTGTTGTTGGAGTGGAGTTGAAGGAACCGATCAGGTCGCACAATGATATCCACCAGGACCAAGCCAGTCGCTTCAAAAAAGCGATCAAGGTTTATCTTTGGCTTATTTATCGCGTAGTTTTATGATTCGCTTACAACGCGCTTAACTGGATTTGGCCACACTGTAGATATTTTTGGCGGTTGTTATGACCAAATCGGCCTTTATGAGTTGAAAAACCTTGCAAACTTTTCCGGAGGCACAATTGTAGTTTCAGACTCTTTTTGCTCGGCCATTTTTAAGCAATCTCTTTATAGGCTTTTTGAAAGGGATTCTTCTAATCAGTTTCTGAAAATGGCATTTAATGCGTCCATGGAAATCTTCATGTCCAAGGAGCTAAAGGTCTGTGGCCTTATTGGTCCTGCTGTATCTTTACAAAAAAAAGGAACCAATGTTTCTGAAATTGAGGTTGGAATTAGTGGCACAAACTCTTGGAGGCTTGGCTCAATTTCTCCCCGATCATCATATGCTATTTATTTTGACTTGTCTTCGACCCAAGTAACCCTTGACTCTTTACTTTTAGCCTTCTGCAAGTGGATCTCGCGGCTACGTTCAATTTGCAACCCTTTTTCAGCATTCAAGTGGCCAGATTCGCCTTTCAGTGACCACTATTTGTCGAACAATTGTTGAACCGATGAATCCTTATATTAAAGCATGCTTTGACCAAGAAGCTGCGGCTGTATTGATGGCTAAACTTGCTGTTTTCAAGTCCGAAAATGACGGGGATGGCCAGGACGTTCTTCGCTGGCTAGACCGGATGCTTATCCGTTTGTGCCAGCGAGTAGCCAACTTTAGAAGAGATGATCCCAATTCGTTCTCCCTGGACACACAATTCAACATTTATCCCCAGTTTATGTTCCATCTGAGACGATCTCCATTTCTGCAAGTTTTCAATGACAGTCCAGATGAGAGTGCCTATGTGAGACACTCCCTTTTGAGGGAGGATACAACCAATTCTCTTACTATGATTCAGCCCACTCTTGTTAGCTATTCTTTAGGCGCTCCACCGACCCCTGCCCTGCTTGATTCTGTATCCCTCAATCCGGATGTCATTTTATTATTGGACTCGTACTTTCACATTGTCATATATTATGGCGAAAATGTCGCTGCATGGATTAAAGAGGGATACCCGGAGCAGCCCGAATATGCCCACTTGAAGGCTTTTATTGAAGCTCCAAAGGTGGAATCAATCGAGCTCCTCAAGACCCGATTCCCGGTGCCCAGATATGTAGTGACAAGCCACGGAGAGTCTCAGGGAAGGTTTTTGCTGAGCAAATTGAACCCATCGACCACGTATTCTGGAGGTTCTTCTTCTTCGGGGCTTAGCGGCTTTTCTGGCGCATCTGGACCATTCAACCCCCACCAGTATCATTCACAACAATCGCATCCATATGGCAGCTATGGGCAAGCCCAGAACCCGCAAATCGCATCGCCTGCAATTTTTACTGACGACGTATCTTTACAAGTATTTGTTGACCATTTGAAAAAACTCGCTGTTGGTTCAGCATCTGTATGAGCAGTGTATCATTAAACTTCCAATGTTAAATTTATACTTAAATCGACATTCCATAGCACACCTGCTTGCTTTTCTGGGACACGCGCACTTGCGGATCCTATAATTGCATTGACTATGGAGTTTTTAAAACATTGTAAATATGCTAATAAATCAGAGAGAAAATATCTTCAGGATTCCGATAGGGATAACTGTAAAATCTCTTCATCATTTGTGCGTATGCTACAAAATAATTAATTTAAAACGGCAAATTTTTATTTTCAATTATGGGAATCAGTGTTTAAATAAAGGACAATGAGGAATTCCTTTTCCGTCTTCTTTTAAAAAGGCCCTTTTGCCTTTCAAAATGAAGCTACAGTTTGCCCAAATTGCAAAAAATTTGGATCCAATAAGGAGGATAATATTTACCACCAATCGGAATATCTCCATGCCGAAGCGGAGAGGGTATTTAAATAAAGCATTTAGAAATTCCGATTCTAATTCAACAACGGCACTTTTAAGGAAGATGTGCATGTAGATAAACTCAAGTCTGCTGTTATATATGTTGCTGATGTTGTTTTTTGTTGGAATGCATATTTTGGATAGCAGGCTAATGCTAGTGGAGCCTGAAAAGGTGAATGGAATCAAATAAAGTAAAACTCCAGATCCGGAAARGGTAATCGCTTCATTGATAAGATGAAACTCATTATCTCTGATGTTTGGATTAGAGACTGATGTCAGAGACAGGGTTGCATTCTTCATAGGTATGTCATAGCTTTTGATTACAAACGACGAGAAGGGGAATCCCCAGGGGATCAAGATGAGAGGCGCTGCAGGAAGTTTGGACGAAATAAACCTTGAATTCATCACTACCATATTAACGAAAAGGGAAGATATTTTGTCGTGGTTATATGGATTTTTTAAATTTAGGCAGGATCCAACCGAAAGTGGAGATCTAGCACAGTCTAAGGGATAGTCTAATTTTGAAATAAAGTTTCGATACTGGAATGCTTCATCATCTTCAACACATTCATTTGCCTTGCCGACATTTTTGGCCTTGAGAGGGCAAGGAAGGAACGAAAATGAAAACCCCAATAGAATTGATAGGAGCACCGAATGCAACATCATCTTTAAATTAAAAAAGTCATCATCTTGATCTTTAATTTTAACGTCGGATGGGCATCATTTGTTGATTTGCACTTCCTTGCTAAATATGGCCACAATGCTTTTCTTAAATATTGCTTTTTACCCGTTAACGTGAGTCGTGTGTAAAAAACAACGGCCATCAGAGCTGATTTGGTATTACCCGTCGATGGCTCCAAGTTAACACAAATGCTGGCCAATCACAGATGCGCAATTGCATTGGGGCGCTCTTCGCCGCTTGACTTGCCCCGCTCCAAAAAGGCACCGGAAAATGTGGAAGCTAGCTAGCTAGCCGATCTAAACAAGAGTCTGCTCATAGCGTGTATCCTTGGAAGAATCGAGGGGTATCTTTCAAAGCCTATTGGAAGGTTGGCGTTGTTTTTGCAGACTTTCGGGCTAGTTTAAAGTTTTAAATTTCTCAACTTCAACATCAACCAGATATGCTTAAGCACTGGTCAGTCAATCATATAAACGCGGTTGGAACTTTTTATTTTTTACAAAATTTATCTCAAGCATCATTAGGTGCCTTCTGACGCAAATGATAATGCCAATTGAAAAAATTATATTTTAAATTTCATAAGCATTCATTAGAAGCAGTTTACACACTGGCGGCCGTTTCTTTTAAAGAGGCCAATCTTTTTTGATTGAGGGATGTATTGGCTAGCTATAAGGTTGAGCCCTTGACCGAGAATGTTTGGCGTGGGCTTATCGGATGCACATATTGAGGCCCGTACATCCTTTTAATGGGCGGTGAAAAATACATTTGTTCATCTGTTTCCAAAATGACTGGGCATTTTGATACCCTGCTCGCTCATATGCTTAAAAGAGCATACTTTTTACAAATGATGCATTGAATCAATCTTCGATGGTAAAAAACATCGGAAAAAATAACAAGAACAATTACTTGCGAAATGATAAACATTTTCTTCTTCATTGGAGAAGACTGCTGATTGGAAGCGGCTTTTAAGCATTTTTATAGGCGTAAAACTTTTCATTCGCTCAAAACACAGAACCAAATGATCACCTCAAAGATTAATTGTTTGCCGAAATGTGGCCTTTTTTAATACAAGGCCGCTTATGGATGTAAATATGTGATACCAATGAACCTCATGGCTGGATGGCGGTAGGGAATTTTTTTTTTAAGCCAGACCCAGAATCATTAAACGCGGTATTATAAATACGTAAAAATAGCTTTATTGCACTTTGGACTCTTGTGAATTTTTAAGCATATTATAGCGAGGAGATGGGATCTTCAGATGGCAGTAAAAATAACATATTGGAGTAGGTGTTTAACGGCGTCCCAATTACCCAAACTGGTCTATCAGTTCTAGCAGGTCATATGCAAGATTTCCGTCTATCCCTATGTCTAAAAGTATAGGTAAACTGGCTCTTGTAAAGAAATCTCTAATCGATCGAAATTCTGTTGCAAGCAATAGGGCAGCTAATCATTTGAAACAAAACAGAACTACCAGTTAGGGAAGCATTCTCGTTTAAATTTAAATAGTTGGTAATTGCATTAAATGCGGTTTCAACCAATGACGACTCAGTGCTGTCTTCGTCTTTACAGGGAGGGGTATGGATGCCACAGTTGACGCCCTTGCTGGATGTCCCAAACTCCATTAGCGTTGAAAAAAAATCAATAAAGTTTTCTTTAAGACAAGTATAAGGCGTCCAAACAATCTTTCTCGTTCTAGGGATATTTTTGAAAATAAATACCCCTTTAATGTTGTGGCATGCCAGCTTTTCGATGTCAACGGGAAAAGAACAAAAAGCTTATCTTTTTCATTATAAGGTGACGAGTCGATTGAAAGAGGCTCAATATCTTCAGGCAAGATTTTGATAACAATTTTTTGAAAGGAGAATGCAATATCCTTACCATATGACGTTAGCGTACTATCAAAATACCCAGTCAGAGTCGTGGGAAACTATATTTTAGCCAGAAAGAGTACCAGAATGCAAGACATTTAACTGCCCAAGTGAGGTGGTTAGAAACGGAAACCTAGCAAGGAGATTCGATGAAATTGTGCATTCAATTGCCGGTTTCATTTAAAAAATTTATGTCAACAAGCCCACCACCAAATGCAAATACTTTAGTTCACTGGTCCGAAATTTTGAAAGGAATCAGAAATGGTGCCATTTATGGAGCAAAAATTAGATTTCCCCACGCATTCGTGATGTCTTTGTTGTTTAGAAGAGCGAGGTAATAAGCAATTGATTCCTATTGCATAGCGTTCGGGGGCATTTAAAATGGATTGGAGAGGCAACCTTTTCTCATAGCAGAAAACTGGCTCTCTATGTGGGATTTTACAAGTCATTCTTGTATGCCATCCAGCAATTGTGCCTTAAATTTGGCCTTCAAACCGAATCTAGATTGATTGAGTTCATATCTGGATCAACTGCCGGCATTCTAACCTTCGGCTCCTCGAAGGACCCGATAAATGTCCAGATTGTCTACTACTTGATATCGCGTGTTTCTGCTGCTTTGCTGTCCAAGTTTTTCACAAACTATGAGCACATTGCTATTTTGTCGAAAATATATGAAAGCGGCTTTCTGATATCTACCTTTCTTGTTTGGGGGTTGGTAATGCAGCTATTTAGATTTGATAGCAGACATCTACACCCATCGCTGAGGTCCTCTATGATATACTTGTACGAAGATTGCAGACTTTAATTTCAAAATAAAATTTATTTTAATCGATGCCTGACGAGTTCCACTTTCAGTCGATTGCCCAGCTTGAGGCCTCGGTGCAGTATTCACAATTGCTGGCTCACAAAAACAAGAATTCGGGTGCTCAAGAAATCAGCTCGATTGAAAACGAATTAAGGATGTGGTTTGATTACTTTGAAGACCTTCTATTTCCGCTACATTACGAATCCTCACAAAACAAGAGCTATTCTCCAACTCTTTTCCTGACGGCTTATAAATTGCTAATTCGATACGTCGATATTCTTTTGGAATTTATGCCCTATTTCTTGGAGCCATATGCTTCCTTTAGACATCATATCGATTCTCTTTTGAAATTTCCAATTGCTAAGTTTAGAGAAGATCCAACCTCCGTTTGGAGAAATTCGGTTATTTCATTGCATTTACTGAACATTTTCAAAAAGGCTATCCGTTCTTCTGCAGACAAGAAAAACTTTATCTTCAAGGATTCTTCCATTTCATCCATAAAGGGTCTGTCACTTTGTAATTTATCTTCTAGATTGGATTTTTGAAGTTCTACCGTGCAAATTTGCTCTAAATTTCTATTTGGCCGAGATCGAAGCCCATTGCAGGCTTTTTTTGAATGCATCTCCTTCTATCTATTCTGGTGAAGAGGTCACGTCTGGGGAGGAGATATTCTCATCGTTGCTTGAACAAATTCACGATTTGTTTCCTGAAATGGTGACATCTAATTTGAGTTTTCTATGCAAACCAGAGAACATTTCTCTGCATTCCTTTGCGCTTCAAGTTTTTGAGGAAAATAAAACATTTCCAGATCTTGAATATCCAAAGATCGGATATGTTCAATTCAACCTTTGTTTCCCCAAACTCGTTTCAACAATTTCTCTTTCAAAAGATGTTGATTGCATAAAGCTAGAACTAATTCTGCTTTGCATTGACTTTTTCATAATGGCATCCATATCAACATATCAAAGTWTATATGATTCAAAGGCGTCTTTGCAGAAAGAAGCAGATGCAAGGCTCCTTGAATCGCTTGTCAGATGCACATACATTTCCAAACTTGCACAATATTTAGACACCATAATAGCTAACTTGCCTCGCATTGAACTTGAGGCGCTTAAAAGGAAAAATTGGAATTATTCAAGAGAATGCACCAGGATCTTTGTGATTTCCAATGCGATTCACCTTAATTTCCTGCAAGATAGTACTTTGATAGCCCACTTTTACAGGCAAAATTTGGACAATTGCAACCTTTTTGAATACTTGTTTATTTCGATCCCATCGCTTCGTAAGATCATGTCTGGTTGACTTTTTAGATATCCTAATTGATATCATATTCTCTTTTTTAGAGGGCCTTGCAGCACAAATTAACAATTATAAGTTTTTGAATGGCTTGGACGACCCTCTATTATGCGAGCATTTTATCCGCTTAATCCAGTCTTCATTGAACATTTCCAAAATGTATTCAAAGGTTTATAGGCTTCCCTCAAGGTTTGATTAGCCTTGGAATATCATATTCTTTAGTGATGACATGCTGTTAAAAATAAGGAGATTAATCTTTCCCCGCATCAAATTGCTCTCCTACTCGTGGGATTTCTGAGCAGATCTGCTGGCGGTCAGCTCAGGCTGTACTGTGGGCCCAACCCTCGGCCGAAATTGTATCTTTCGAAGTTATCCGCGCTTTAAGGGTTAAGGGAAATCATTTTATTTGCGAATCTCATCTTAAAGGCTTAGTAATTTCTAGCAAAGAAAAGCAGCTTCCACGGTAGTATCCTTTTGAGGATGACAAATATAATCACAGCCACGTATATGTACAGAGCAATAAAAAATAGGTTTCTATAAAAATTCTTTGCCCTGCTGAGCTTTTTGAATGTTTTTGAGGCAGCTTTTACGGTGTCATCCATTTTCTTATACACACCTGAGAGCATTGATAGCCTGTTTGAGGATGAGTCTATCCTCTCGAAATTGATTTCAGAAACCTCCAGCTGGTTACTGAGCAGGCTTTGAAGCTGCAGGAGTGCATCTTGGACTTGCTCCGATTTGCGTCCATGGATATATTCCGAAAGTGACGAGGTTTGGCGCTGAACAACCCTTTTGTAAACATGAGTCTGAGAGGATGCCTCTTTGGCCATCAAATTTGAGATTTATAAATTTTAAATTTCAATGGCTACCAGTGGAAAGGGATCAGGTTATGATCATTTGATTTCCATATTCTCTCCTGAAGGTCGTCTTTATCAAGTTGGTATGTTTTGACACTATATCTTTAGAATATGCCTTTAAGGTCATTCAAAGTTCAGGGCTTACTTCTCTTGCAATCAAAGGAAAAGATTGTGTTGTTGCGGTTTCACAGAAAAAACTCCCAGTACCTTTCATACGTTTACCATTTAGGACAAAATGATCGATCCAACGACAGTTACCTCCCTTTATTTAATAACGAAAGGAACTGGGTGTGTGGTCTCTGGAATGCAAGGTACGTTCGATGTCGATTGATAATACTTTCAGCCGATGGCTTGTCTCAGATTTCAAGAGCAAGGCACGAAGCCGCCGAATTCAAATATAAAAATGGCTATGAAATGCCATGTGAGCTTTTGGTGAAAAGAATGGCGAAGCTTAACCAGGTCTCCACCCAACAGGCTGGAATGCGTCCAATGGGTGTTGGTAACCTTGTTTTAAATCTTACAGCGTAGCTATTACTTTTATTGCATTTGACGAGGAGAAAGGCCCTGTTTTGTTCAAGCTGGATCCGGCCGGCCAGATGATATCCTTTAAAGCCACTGCATCGGGGCAAAAGTCGCAGGAACTTATGCAGGAGTTAGAAACCCGACTTAAAAAGAAGCCGTTCGATGAATATTCCATGGAGGAAATAATTGAAGTTGCTATTACGGCCCTTTCTGTCGTCATATCTCATGAATTCAAACCGGATGAGATAGAGATTGGCGTTGTTTCAAAGGAATCGCCATCCTTCCAAATCTTGTCGCAGGAAAGAATCGATAACATCTTGAGTGTTCTGGCAGATAAAGATTACTAAACTTTAATACAAGATCCAATTTTTCA